AAATAAAAATGTTATCCCATCATAGATAACTATAAGAAAGTCAGTCATAGGTTTATAACTATGAAAAGTGTAAACACTATGATGCTATCAAAATATTGGGTAAAACTTGGAACTCTCATTTGTTAATTAGTTAATGCATTGTTTAACATGAACTAACCGTGAGCAATATACTTTTACATTATTTACTAACCTTTGTTAATATTAGGTAATAAAAATGCAGTTGTTCAATGTTTGTTCAAAGTGCATTAACTAATGTTAACAGATGCAACTTTAAAAACATTTTAAAAATTAACATTAAGAAATATTGTTCATCGTCAGTTAACTAATGTTAAACAAATAACCTTCTTATAAAGTAAAACGGTGATTTTTTTTTTTGTCGCTTGGTGGCACAGAACCAAAATTACAGATTTCACCTTCAACGTATTTTTTTAATTGCATTTTAACGTGAACATCAGTTGTCGTACGGTTCAGTTTAACGTCACATTAGTTATACTAAAACACTGTGGCATCCATTTATAAACTGATAATAAAAGGTTCAGTAGGTTCCACATAAAGATTGAAGGCTTTTTTTTTTTACATTTGGGCCTAAATGTTCACTGTTCACTCAAACGATCCTTTGACGTAAACCAAGAATTTGGCAGTGCTCAAAACTGAGTATTTCCATAAATGAATGTACAATGAATGTGGAGGCGACAGCAGAAACAGAGAGGCTACACACACTGTGCTTGTGAATCTATTCAACACTCCTGGAGGAGCGGCCTTGAGTATGTGTGTGGGAGCCTTTAACACACACTGTACTACTCATACTGACGTCTTCAAAACTCCACTCAGAACACTTCACAACAATGCCAAAAGGTCGACAACTGCCGTAATCTTCACAGGACATTTCACATTATCTTTTTGTATGACTCAAGTGCAATGGTCATCTGAAAACTATGCATTCACATGTTACATATTAGTAATATAAGGCATGTACCATATGTATTTCTAAACACGGTTGGCACAGGTGTTCCTGAATACATTCTTTCAAAAATGCTTTGTAGAGCCATATAGAACATTATACTGATATTCAGCCAAACTTTTCACTATAATGTTCTGTTTCTGTTTTTTGTATGTATCACAGCAGCTCATTGTGAAATAACATGACAATGTCAGTCTGTTACTTTGAAAACTATTCTGTAGTACATCCTGTATGCCAGAATCATTCCAACATAACTCCTCTAGCCAAATAAAGATATTGCACTGTTCAAAATGACATTGGCAAACATAAAAATGCCTCACAGTGAAATTATGAGTGTTATCAATAATGACAATGGAATTCCTTACATACTGATTCCAGCAGAGGTAACAGTTAAATGCATTTAAAAGGATAGTTCACCCAAAAATGAAATCTCTGTCATTATTTACAGCTTGAATACAATACACGACAACTGCACAGATTTTTGGATGAGTTGAAATCTGCACATGGATTTTTTTAGAATCACACTATCATTCCATGCATTTGGTGGATATTAAACGTTTGATATTTTGAGACTATTTTAGAACACATATTTCATCTGTCATGTGTCTCCCAGCAATGAGCCACATGTTTATGCATGAGTTTGTTGTGTTCGGAACAACTTGAAAGACTGGTAGTGTGTGATCCTCAGTTGTTTACTGTATGATGCCCAATTTTTCTCTGTAACAATTTACAAATCGCCATGATGTCTATTCAGATTTTAAAGGTTGTATAGTGTATTTCAGTCTTTACTAGCCCTCATGTCGTTCTAAACAATTCTTTCATGAAACATAAAAGGTTGTTAATCAATGATAATCATCCACTTCATTGAGTTGTTAAGCACTGAGACCAAAACACTGAATCACAATGAACAAGAATCCTTTCAGTGTAATTCATAAAGTGCAATCTATACGAATTATTATTTAATTCCAACCAATTCATTGAAAAGATCTGATTCAAAAAGAATAATTCCATTCATGAATTAAACATGTTTTTTTTTACTCAACCTCACAAGAACGCACCAAGACGAGCTGGGATGGACATCCTCCATCAAGATTTCACTAAATAACAAATTAGATTTCAGTCTGTATGCTTTACTAGACTTGGAATATAGTGCATGGGTTGTATGGACTGCATTTAGAATACTTTTATGGTACTTTTGCAACCTTTTTGAAGCTTGAAAACCTCAGTCAACATTTATTGTGATTGCATGGAAAAACACTTTTCAAAATTTTATTTTTGGGCAAACTATCCCTTTAATTGACAGAAAACAGTACTGATCAGAAAGGACTACTTCAGATTTTAAAACATTTGTTTTTCCGTGACACAAGCATTAAATATAAAAAAATGAAAATATGAGATGAATTATGCATTATTGGATATTTACTAAATATTTAAGGTACATTTAGATGCTAACAATAAGCTTTCTGCTCAACATTCAAATACTCGGCTAGTGCTTGCTGTAGATTCAAAAGATCTGATTCAAAAAGATTAATTCCATTCATGAATTAAACATTGTTTTTTTTACTCAACCTCACAAGAACGCACCAAGACGAGCTGGGATGGACATCCTCCATCAAGATTTCACTAAATAACAAATTAGATTTCAGTCTGTATGCTTTACTAGTCTTGGAATATAGTGCATGGGTTGTATGGACTGCATTTAGAATACTTTTATGGTACTTTTGCAACCTTTTTGAAGCTTGAAAACCTCAGTCAACATTTATTGTGATTGCATGGAAAAACATTTTTAAACATTTTTATTTTTAAATTTTAAAACATTTGTTTTCCCGTGACACAAGCATTAAATATAAAAAAATGAAAATATGAGATAAATTGTGCATTATTGGATATTTACTGAATATTTAAGGTACATTTAGATGCTAACCCTCCCCCCACACACACACAAACTGTTTTAGTTATTTACAACATAAATACAAAGTTCTATCGTGAAACTCTAGATGGCGCAGGCCGATAGGTTCTAACTCATGATAGAATCACATCAATACCACAGTTGTTTTAATTGCTTGCACAGCCAATAAGCTTTCTGCTCAACATTCAAATACTCGGCTAGTGCTTGCTGTAGCAGTTGCAGCGCTCTTCAGAAACCCTCCACCTTCCCCAGCTCCACCTGCATAGATCTGTTTTTTGTTTTAGTTTTATGTATGCTTTATATGGGGGTTATTTCATGTATGTTATATGTGCAGTAGCAGTATTTCTTGCATGCTCACAGCAGCATGTCTGTGGATGTATTGGCAGTAGCAATTCTCAGTACTTAGTAGCAGCAGCAGCAGCGTAGCAGATCTATTCCACCAAGATCAAACGCATTAACATTGTCATGTATATTACCATGCTAAACTCTCAGAGTTGTCATGACAGAAATAAAGAAATGCATGATTTGTAAGAGATTCTATAGGTGTATTCAGGGGGTCGCAGTCAAATAAGATTGGTCTGAGAGATGACGTGGGATTATGTGACTCCGTCCAGTAGTTTCACCTGTTGCCAGTGAGATCACCTGGACTACACACCTGTTGTTGTTCATGCCATTGAGCTCCACCCTTCTTAGTCAACACTACTGCAGAGGCCAAAGATCAACCAGTGCATCAAATCACATCTCACTCTCGGTTTATGTGTGTGTGAGCCAAAACAGATAGCTTTTCCTTGTGTTGTCTAGTATTTTTCTTCATGGATACTTCCTGCATCTGATAATTGCTCATTAGCAAATGCAAATTATGTGAACGTACACATTTTACAAAATACTAGTAGCAGCAGCAGCAGCGTAGCAGATCTATTCCACCAAGATCAAACGCATTAACATTGTCATGTATATTACCATGCTAAACTCTCATGACAGAAATAAAGAAATGCATGATTTGTAAGAGATTCTATAGGTGTATTCAGGGGGTCGCAGTCAAATAAGATTGGTCTGAGAGATGACGTGGGATTATGTGACTCCGTCCAGTAGTTTCACCTGTTGCCAGTGAGATCACCTGGACTACACACCTGTTGTTGTTCATGCCATTGAGCTCCACCCTTCTTAGTCAACACTACTGCAGAGGCCAAAGATCAACCAGTGCATCAAATCACATCTCACTCTCGGTTTATGTGTGTGTGAGCCAAAACAGATAGCTTTTCCTTGTGTTGTCTAGTATTTTTCTTCATGGATACTTCCTGCATCTGATAATTGCTCATTAGCAAATGCAAATTATGTGAACGTACACATTTTACAAAATACTGTAACCATTGATGTAACCAAATATTTAATATTTGGTTGGAAGTAACAATAAAAGCATTCACACATTGATGGACCCTTATTTTGAAAACTGGGATGCTCTTTGAATAAGGCCACAGTTGATCCTCTGTGTACACAAAACCAAAAAACTAGACAACTAAACAACTAGACAAAATTCTAGGGAATGAGATTCAGTAGACAAGAAGCAGTAAAACGCAGTTGGCATCACAAGTTCAAACTCCTCTGTGATTCTTTCTTTTCAGAAGACAGCCGTTGAGTCAGGGAACAGGTTTAACAAAATCTTCTGGTTGAGTCACTTGTCATTTGAACTGAGCACTGATTTAGTACAGGAACAAATCTCGCCTTTTACACTCACAGTGTAAACAAAGATATCTGGCTTGGACACAATGGTGCAGAAACAGGTTTTCTGAATGCATTACTGACAACAACATCACTATTTTGGGATGTATATTGTGTAAACGTATGGGTTTAAACAAAACACTTTTTTTTTTTTACAAATTTGCGGAGCTGTTTGTAAATACTACTTTAAAATTTAATTACATTATATTCACAATATTTATATGCAAATTACACTTTATTATTACTGTTACACTTGCATGAAATGTATGCACTTTATAGGCTAAGTGTCAGTTTAATAAAAGTAGCACATGCATAATGCATTAGCATGCTAAAGATTCAAATGCAAATGTTGATGCTGTTCTCTTATGTCGCAGACAGGTGCATAGTGCATCACAGTAAAAACAGATTTACCTTCATGTTTAGCTTCCTCCGTCTGAGCGCGCGCAGGTGAACGGAGCGCGAGACACAGCGCGAGCATCTGCAGCACAGCAGCATTCATCTTCATCATCCTCATCAGACAATATTCCCAATCTGAAGTCAGTCCGTCAGTCTGAGCAGACAGTTAAATATCCATGGCGAAAGAAGCGTGGAAGAGATGATGCTCCCTTCACTTCGGTTTGACAGAAATTCCTGACTTAAGTTTTTTCTCTCTCTCTCTCTTCTTCCCTTTTTAATCCAAAATGTTCAAATATCATATTCAGTGCAGTGCAAACGAACAAAATATCAAGTAGTCCATTTCCGTCTGTTACGGAAAAGTATAGGCTAGACTATAAAGTAGCTGAAAGCAAACACTTTGACTCAAACAAAAATGGTAATACAATCAAAAGTTTGAAGACTAAAAAAAAAGCGACCAGAATTCAGACGAGGTTAAAAGATTTGTAAATATGAAAACGCTCGAGCGCACGCAGGAATGTTGTCTCGAGGTTTGTTACCTGTTTACGCGGACAGGTGAACGATGCTGAACGCTGATTGGGTCTGATTAACGTGACGTCGACCGTGTAATTCCAAAGCCCGTGCACTCGTTTATTTCAAACATGTAAACAAGTCATAAAGCCTTGATAGGGAACTTTTGGCCATTATGAATTTCCCTCAGTAACCAACAGTCCTCACAGCCTACACTAAAAAACAGATTGTGATAGATTCATGTGCTCTCTCTCTCTCTCTCTCTGAACAAACACACATACACACATCCGGGCTTTGCTGTATCGATAATAATGTCTTGCTGGATTGAGGGCTCTCATTGTGTGTAAGTCAAGGCTGGCATTGTGTCCCAGTATCGTCCACTAGTTCATCAGTGTTTCTTTGATGGCTCTGGACTCACAGTCTCACAAAGAACAAAATGCTCATTTTAGAAGAAATTTTCAGATGGCACTTAGAGGCTTTTGCATCTGAACTCTTCATATATATATATATTGCACTTTATATTTTTTATCTTTAAGCTTATTCCTTATAATTCCATTCCCAACAATGGATGCTACACATAAATAAAATAATGATTTTAAACTGTTTCATAGCATACAGTGTTTTCATATTGGTACATTTTGAACAATTAACTTCCTCCTTGTTCTCCATTCAGACAGCGTGTGAGTGTTCAGTGTAATAGTCACAGTTGGAAAACAGGTTTTAAAGACCAGCTCTTCCTGCACTACCGGTCTGTATGAGGCACTGATTGAACAAACAAGTAGTACACAGACAGACAGACAGACAGACATACTTACACAACAACCCTGAATTCTTTACTGTGCTCTATACCCTATATGCTCTGATGCATCATATGATTTTTTCTTCATGGAAATGCAGTGCATAAACAAGGTCTTTTAGGGTTTGAGACACATTCCTTGTTTGTTAATATCTCACCAGCCAACAATATAATGGGCCAGAACACACCCTGATCGAGCTCTCTCACACACTTTCTGCTTTGAACAGCTTATTGTATATTAATATGAATAAATATTTTCCACTGAATATATATATTATACATTGGCAAAGACATATTGAAGCACATATGCCGTGATGAGAATATGCTTTTTATTCTTTACTTCCTTTCATAAACTGTGATGGTTTTCACAATAGTTCTGCCCTCTTCTGGTTGACATAAAGGGCTGCAGTGCAGAAAGAGACTCGAAATACTCCACGAATCCAGCTCAGAAGTTTCAAAGCAGTTTATCTTTGCAATGCAATCCATTAAAACTGTAACATAATCTAGGATTAGACATGATCCATTTCTGGCGCCTATCAGAGATCAATATAAGACATTTAACATAATATACAATATGATGAAGTCATTAGGTGGCTTTACTAAAGCATATTCCAGACCAGGTGGGATAGGTTTATTCAACATTATCCACTATAATCTGCCAGCAGGCGTGGTCATTATATAAGATTCTTATGTCCACTTTAAAAAAAAGTAGCTTTGAAAGCAGCATAAAAAATGTAAAATGGAACAAAAGAGAGAAGAAACAGCTAATAATTTTCCTGTTTTTATTTGAGTGTACAGTCAGGGATCAGAGGGAGAGAACGTTTTTGGTGTCTACATCATAATAATCAACAATAATCTTTCTTAATCTACTGTAACAGATAATTACACCATCTTTGCAATGCAATCCATTAAAACTGTAACATAATCTAGGATTAGACATGATCCATTTCTGGCGCCTACCAGAGATCAATATAAGACATTTAACATAATATACAATATGATGAAGTCATTAGGTGGCTTTACTAAAGCATATTCCAGACCAGGTGGGATAGGTTTATTCAACATTATCCACTATAATCTGCCAGCAGGCGTGGTCATTATATAAGATTCTTATGTCCACTTTAAAAAAAAGTAGCTTTGAAAGCAGCATAAAAAATGTAAAATGGAACAAAAGAGAGAAGAAACAGCTAATAATTTTCCTGTTTTTATTTGAGTGTACAGTCAGGGATCAGAGGGAGAGAACGTTTTTGGTGTCTACATCATAATAATCAACAATAATCTTTCTTAATCTACTGTAACAGATAATTACACATTTCATCCATGATTTCTAAGTTCTATTTATTCATTTATTAATTATTCAGTGAGAAATAGTTTTCCTCCTTCATTGATTATGTTCACTGACACCGTATAAGCCATCAAAATGATTTACCCAACACAGTAAAAAATCAACAAAGAAAATGCATAAGCACACAGAGGTAAAAACACATTCACCAAAATAAATACATAAATAAAAATATAATATATAAGAAGACAAAATCAAACTTTAAACCATCCTAAAAAGTCAACCCTAGCTACTCAATAAGCACGCAAACAATTTAATGCAAAGAATAAATGCTCTGAAGTCAAGCGAACTATGTATTTGAGATTTTATTTTAACCCCTTTTGTTCCCAGATCAACCAAAAACGAAACAAGCAACTTAGTGACCCAATAACTTAGTTAATAAATAACCTTGTGAAATCACACATTTGTAAGAAGATAAGGCCACAAAACTTAACAGACTGGACGATTCACACCGCAGACTTGTGTAGAAATGGCCTTGTTAGACATATCGTTGTTTGCATTATATGCTGAAATACTACTGTAGAGTGTGTCCAAAGCCAAACTGGATACTTTGAGGTTAAGTGTCTTGCTAAATAGCACAGTTGTTTTGGTAACTCTCCCATTCCTGCATCACCCACACGCTACAGCACTCAAAATAAGACTCCATTCAAATCATGTCCTAGGTTGAAAAGACTTGTCTTTTTAAAATGTTCATACAGTCATAAGAGTCATGACAATGGGTTTTAGTGTAAAGGTGCTGGGTATTAAGTGGGAAGATGCCAAAAATGTGTAGCTAATATGCAAACTAGAAAACAGTGCTATTGTGCAGAAACAAATACAATTACAAACAGACTGTCTTAGTGTTAGATTTGTGTGAAGGATGGATAACCAACACATATGCAAAGCAGGATTAGCAGTTTTGTTGTATTTACACTAGCTAGTATGGTAAAATAGGTTAGAATTGAATTTGATTTTCCATTTGTCCTTGTAGTCTGTAACACATATAGATTATGTTAGTACTATGAATTATACATCAGCGCTGCATCTGTGATATTTGCCTGAAGTGTTAAACACAAAAGACAACCTACTATAAATATATATACAGTATATCTATATATTTTCTCATTTCTGAACCATACTAATCAAAAGCCAAAATCTGTGCACTAATTCAACAAAAGTCACATTCGTTGGGGGTGATATGTTAGTCTGAACCCACAAAACACATTATGAGCATGAAACATGCGACAAACACAGAAGTAGACAAGTTATTATGCAGTTTGCCACAGACCACTGACATACCGAGGCTTTGGTTGTGCTGTTTTTATGCTGTTCACTAATATGAGTGCAAAAGCAAAAATAGCACAGTTTAGTGTCATAACAATCTACTAATTGACTAATCATGTCAGTGGTAAATTAGTATAGCAACTAACAAAAGACTGTGTTAAACAGCATTTCACTATCTATCTATCTATCTATCTATCTATCTATCTATCTATCTATCTATCTATCTAGCATGCCATGCAGACAATGCTAGTGATTCTTACAAAACAATAGTTTTACCCAAGCAACAATTAGCCAAGTCAATTCTACAACAAAGGGGCATTTGATTGGAAAAAGCTTTATTTACAGCTTCACTCGAATGCGAATTATGGTGGACTACCCAACAGCACCAAGCTTGACTCACAATTTAGATGAGGGATGTGTGACAAGGAACATTTGTACTGCGTCCATTCCAGTACAGCACGGCCACAAAGCAGCATGCAACACCAACCAGCTCTGTGTGACCAAACACACACACACATGCAGATCTAACCTCTACTACACCACAAGGTTTAACACGACACAGAGAGAAACAGCCATGCAAAACACAGCAGGGTATCTAACGCAATCACAAACCGCCGGGATCGCAGACTGTGGATAGTGGATTGTGTGCGTGAGGAGGCAAACTGCATCATAATCACATCTACTGAGAAATACATAAGCATATTACATAATACATGAGCATGCCCAGACCCGACAATCTTCTTCATGGCAGTCAAGGACAACACTGATCACTGATTGTGAACATGTTAGTGAGTGAGTGAGGGAGAGACGATGAAATCGGCCAAACGTCGATGCTATAAACCGATACTGTTCGTACAGTGAAATGGAAAAGTCAACAGAGGAAATTAGATGCATGTTGATCTGCATGTGAATGCGTGTGCAGAGCACAGAGGGCTCTTTAAACCACATACTGTGTTTTCCAGAATACAACCAAAAAAAATAAACAAAGAAAAACCAAACATAAAGGCCAAATTAGTCCCACCCCTTTACCAAAGCGAGAGACGGCTACGTAAATAAAATCCCGCCCCTCACTTCTTATTCTTGAGCTGATTGGCGAGCCAGTCGAGCCCTTCGTACAGACCGTCGCCACTGGTTGCGCAGGTCGCTTGTATATACCAGTTGCGATGGCGGAGCGAATGGAGGCCGAGCTTGTCTGTGATCTCAGCTGCATTCATAGCGTTTGGCAGATCCTGGAGTCAAGGAGGAATAAAATGACAGAGTTGTGAAATTAAGTATTTGCTATGGGACCAGATATTTTTATTCTGAAACAAATACACAAATCTAGCAGCCGAATTACATACAATAGATTATGGACTGTCCATTGATGAACATTCAAAAGCAGCCGTGTTTTCTGAGTAAATACAATTTTCTGCAAGTAATGAATACACTAATGTTAAAACGTTTGAGGTAGAAAAAAAAAAAAAGTCTATTATGATTACTAAGGCTGCATTTATTTGATCAAAAATGCAGTTAAAACTGTGTAATATTGTGAAATGTCATTACAATTTAAAATAACTGTTTTCTGTTTTAATATACTTAAAATGTAATGCATTCCTGTGATGCACAGCTGAATTTTCAGCATCATCACTCCAGTCTTCAGTGATCCTTCAGAAATCATTCTAATATGTGGATTTGCTGCTCGAAAAAATATTCCTTATTGTTAACAATGTTGACAACAGTCATGCTGCTCATTTTTGTGGAATTTCAGGATTCTTTGATGAATGGAAAGTTCATTTGAAATATTTTTTTTTGTAACAATGTAAAAGTATTT